GTTTGGAGCCGAGGCCAGCGCTTACACCCTAGCCCTGCATCTGCCATCTGGGCTCGGCTTTGCCAGAGTAGCAACCCTTGTACAGAGAAAGTCTTTGAGATGAGTGTAAGTGAGTTTGCCTGCAGAATAGCCTGTGCTGCCTGCAGAGGCCAGGCTGCAGGGCTGCACAGTCTTGCTTTTCTGCCTTGTCTATTAGAGCTCAATGCATGGTTGGTGAACCACCCTGGGCTCCCCACATCTACACCCAGGCGTGCCTGGTGTCCACGAGGTTTGTAGCTCACGTAGGAGCCTCTCAAATGGCATGTCTTACTCCAGAGACTCGTTTTGGCCATCACTAGGTGACCTGTGAATGCCCTGACTGCACACGGAGGGCAGCAGCATTGTCCATGCTGCGGGCAGTGTACGCTGCTGCTGCTGCCTAACTATGCCCTGGCTGCCTGCAGCACTGGGGAGGCAGTGACCTGCTGATGGCAAAGGTGCTGGAGCAGGAAAAGGCAAGTAGTTGAGAAGGGCATCTCCTTTGCTCGCATCAGGTTTCTAGCCGGCAGCTGGTGCTCCCAGAGTAGCCAAGGGAGTTGGGCCCACAGGCTTATGTGCTTGGCAGCTTTCCGCAGGCTCCGTGCAGGCTCCTGGCTTTGCATCTCCTCTACTCCTGATCCTCTATCCATCTCGCATCCACTTTCCTGTAGTTTTAAATCCACTGTTTAAATCTCTTGCAGGCCATCCCCTCAACTCAGGCTAGGGGAAAGTAGTCCTAGCCTACGGGCAGGCTCAAGGCTGCCCATCTGTAGGCTGCTCTGAGCAGTGGCTGTGGGTCAAGAAGGGCTGGAGAGGTAATAGCCGCTGCAGGGTTCCTCACTGCCCAGCATCCCCAGAGCTCTGGCTGGGTTGACCGAAGCAGCGCTCCTCCTCCCCATGCCCCCCTGATCCTGCTCCTGCCTGACTTTTGAGAAGAGCAATTTGCTCCTAAGGGTCGCACCACGGGTTGGTGGAATGGTCTGGCTCACTGCGCACCCACCTGCTCCCATCCTGCTCTGTCCCTGCTGTGCCATGGGGCAGACTGTGGGGTTGGTGTCCCCTGGGAAGGGCCATCAGACTTGCTGCAGAAGCTGTCCCCTGCCAGAGGGGCTCCTGGGCACCGCTCAGAGTACCCACACAACCGGCTGGGCCCCTTGGCACACACCTGGGGTGCCTGCCCACATGCCGGCATGGCTCTGCTGGGTCCTGGCAGGATGCTGGGCAGCAGGGTACAGGGAAGTGACCTCTGCCTCCCTATGCCCCCTTGCTGGGCTGAGGCTCTTGGGGGAAGGAGGGAGTGCTTGCACGAGAGGGGGTCTGCACTGGCATCTCTCTGGAATCCTGCTGTGAGATAACCTTAATTGTCCCTCTCTTCGGCAGCTAAGCCCCAGTGCAAGGCAGGTTTGGGCGCTGGCAGTGGCTTTCTTTCCTGGTTTTCAGTGCTGCAGACCCTGCTGTGGGATCGCACATCCCTGAAGTTGGTCTTTCTCCTCTAGATGCGGCCGGAGGGAGGGTTTGAGCTGAGCCCGGAGAGCAGCCCTGCTGTGGCTTCTGGTATGAGGCTGCAGTAAAACATTGTGAGCTTTGAACAGGGCCAGCCTGCGCTGTAAAGCTGTCACTGCTAATGGAGATCATCTCTGCTTTGAGTGGCCTAACTCCCCTTTATGCACCATGGCTGGAAGAGCCAGAGTTGAATGGAGCAGAAGGTAATATATAGTATGGCAAAGTTAGAAAACTTGCTTGCCGAGCAAAACATTCTCAGCCTTTTCCCACATTTCCAGCTGGACCCCTCCAAGCAGTTTGTGCGTAAGAGAGCACGCGATTCCTCCACCCCCACGTGGCAGCCAGGACAAAGCGCTTGGTAAAAGGGCGAAAGAGCATGATACATCATAAATATTAGTGCCTGGCCCCTTGCCAGTCACAGGCAGAGAAATCGTCTTGGCCATTAATCTATCCATGCAAGCTGCATCTGGCAAAGTGGTGCTTAATGTCACCCATGCTCATTTTTGTCTCGGTGTTGCAGTTCATGCTTGCTTTAAAAAAAAAAGGGAAAAGTACTTTAAGTACTTTGTGCTTTCTGGGTTTAATCTGTTAGTGAATTTTTCCTGGGGGACTCTGCCAGCACAGCGTGGGACCAGTGTGCAGGGGGCGAACCAAACACAGGGAGCCTCTAATGAAGGGCAGGATGGGGAATCCAGCATGTTTGTGTAAATAAACTGTGCATATCCATGCTGGGCTGCTTGTGGCACTGCCATGGCTGCCTAGCACTGCAGCTCAGGCTTTCGGGGGCAGCCAGCTGCTGCTGCTGGGCAGCATCCTCCGGATTGCAGAGGGACCCCCCGGACAGAGCCTGTCACCCGCTGGGGTGCTGGGGCAGGCAGGGCTGGAATTGGAGCTTCCCTAAGCTCAGCTATCATTCTCCACTGTGATTAATTGCAGTTAGCGCTCATCTGTAATTTTAGAGAACAATCCGATGACGTGCCTTGAGGTTGATTTAATTGAAACTTGATGAGGCATCAGAATGCTTCTGTGCACTGGGGTGAGCCATGCTGGGATCCTCCTGGGAACCCCATCCCCTTTCCCTGTCCTCAGCAGCACCTTGGAGGGCTCAGGCTCCCCCCTGTTTCTCCTGCGCTGAGCTTGTGCTGTAGGTCTGGGGTATCCTTGCCCTGGAGTTTTGTGACCCGTCTGGATATTCTCAACTGCAGTAGTGCTAAGGATGTGGGGTTTTGCACCGCTGTGATGTGGACCACTGGGGAGGTTTGGGATACAGGTCTCGTTCTCCATTGCAGAAATCCTCCACTCTGCCTATTCATCTGCTTGAGTTGCACTAGCGATTTAAGGCCGTTAGGAAGGCTGAGGGAAATTGCTTTCAGGTCAAAACCTGCTTTAGCCTATAGTGAATTACTACGCCTGGGTTTTAAATCTTTGCAAACAGAGGATTATGGTGATGGTAAATACTAGGTAGGCCTGGGGATTGCCATACTGCCGGCTGAAGGGAGTGTGGCCTTTCCCTTTAGTACATAGAGAGTGATGGATGTTAAAAAAATAAATTGAGATACAGCCTGGGTTGTAGCTTAGATACTGTTTCTCCTTGATTTATATTTCTGCTTGGATGCTTCACAGAGTAAGCAGTATATTTCTTGCTTAGCCTCACGGGGCTTTTTCCTTCTTAAATGAGGACAGCATGGTAGATACAACCAATTGCCAAGAGCCCCGGATTAGTGCAGGATCTGCAAAAAATTCAGAGCTACTGTACAACACAGTGTGTGCTTGAAACACAAATACCCAAGTGTCGAATGCATTTGAACCAGCAAAGCTACATTCCTGTGCCGGAGGATAGCTGCCTGTGCCTGGCTGCTCTCAGCATCTCTGAGTCTCTAGTCCCGACAGTGGCTTTGGGGACTGAAACAGAGCAATTGCCTCCTGCTGTCAGCAGACCGGGGGTAGCCAGGAGCCTGTCCTGAGCACGGCAGGGCGAGAGGGTGAGGAACCGTGGTGGTCTGAAGGCTGGAGTGTGGGCAGCACCCTAGAAACGCCAGCCCAGTGGGAAGCCCTGCCTGTAGCCATGGAGGATGCAGGCAGCAGAGGTTGAGGGCAGGCTAGGCTCATCCTCCTGCCTGCAAGTACTGGGCAGGAGGAAGGATGAGGGCCTGGTTTGCTAATTGCTGTGAAAGCAGTGGTGACACGCTCATCTAGCCTGCAGATAGCTGTAACGGCACCTGTGCATGATGAGTGGGGCTGAAACAGTTTGACACAGTCTTTATAATCCAATTAGTGCTGAGTGCTAAGCAACCCGGCCAATTTGCTGTTGGCTTTTAAAACACATATAAATAGTGGTGGCATTATGTAATGCCATGGGGGATGGCTCCACTCTGCTTGCAATCCCTGAGTTGAGTTGAGTTGAGTTGAGTTGAGTTGAGTTGAGTTGAGTTGAGTTGAGCTGAGCTGAGCTTGGCTGACCAGAAGATGACCATGGCTTTGCTTGAGGCTGGGCGAACCCATCGGATGGTCTGATCTCTCGTAGCATTTGTGTTTGCTGCATTCCATTTGGCCTGCTGCAATCTGTACAACATCCCCAGATCCACCCGGAACAAGCACTCTTGATGAGGCAGATCTCCTGTGCCTTCTCCCAAACAACATCTCCATCAATCGGTTGCATGTGCTACAGAGGAGACTATGACAAATGCAGGCAGGGGCCTGACTCTGTTAACGAGCTCAGGCCTGGCTGTGATAATGATGTCCTCCAGCCTCTCCTTGCTCTCGACTTTCCCACTGCAAGGAAGATGCTTCCATGTCTGCATGACCCTCCTTGTCTCTGACGGAGTACCACCAGCAATAATAAAGTTTTCCAGTCTGCTGCGGACTGCCAGTAGTTCTGTGCAGGCAGGGGGCTGTAATCTCTGCCCTGGGGGAAGCCCATGTCAGGCTGCTGGCAGCTAATGAGCTTGTGCAGGTGTTACTGAGGGTGTCGTGGGTGACTGAGTTATTGATCTTGTCCATGATGGGAATTGCTCTGATACTTGAAGCTAGGGATGGATGCTCTGTGGGCTGGAGCTGGGAAATGCTCATGGAGTTGGTAGCTTTGCCCAGAAGTGGGTAGCAGAAGGTGAGTGTGGGGTTTTGTGTGGCTGCTCCTGCAGAAGCACTACCAGAAAGTGCCTCTTGATTTTGTCAGTCGTATGGAAAACCAGTCTTCTGGAAGGAAGGAGGGAGTGGATAGAAGCAGGAGGTTGCCAGAAATGGTTTCTGAAGTAAATCATGCCTAAAATGCACAGCGGTAAATGCTGTTGTGATGGTTGAAAGTTGGTAGCTTTATGTAGAGGTTACAGCTGGATTGTGTTTGCCCTGAATTGACCAAGTCTTGCCCACGGGGTTGATTGCACCAAATCCACATTTGGTGTAATTCATGAGGTAGCAGTTGGTAATCACTGGTTACAATTTTGTCTTATATAGCTGACTTTTCCTCTTTGTGCTTTCAGAAATAACACAGATCATCCAGGTGGACTTGGACCTGAAGTACAAGACCAACATCCGAGACCTGTTTGATGAGTTTGACAACTTCCCGGAGGGAGCAGTCATTGGGATTGCCAGGGAAATGCAGCCAGTGTACAGGTAGAGCCCCCTCCCTGTGGGGAACAGGGGTTGGGCAGCAGGCGGCTGGCGGCTGGCGTGTCTTCTTTTCAACTCAGGTTGGTTTTTGGAAGAAAATCTAGGGGGAAGCTGCCTGCCTGCATTCATACCTGCAGGGGGACTTAATCTGAAACTTGTAGGTCGGTATGAATGAAGTATACAGTGTCGCTGTGGTTTCCTTGTTGTTATGCACCATCACAAGGCTTCCAGAGCCAAGTTCCTGGTCATCGGTGCCAAAATTCATACCTACATTATAGCACACCCACTAGAGAGGTTTGTTTGCCCAGCCATGCCTGCTGAGGTGCTGTGATTGCATTCTGGAGCATCAGTTTGTATGTCAGGGCTCAGAGGTTTTGGCTGTGAGTATTGCAGAGAGTAGGGGTTGAGTTTGGGCAACAGTGAGGTTCGGGGTCCCTGGAGTGTCAGTGCACCTTCTGCTGAAGAAATATTCCCTCAGGGAAGACTGAGTGGGCAACCCTCCCCTCCCGGCTTGTGCTCTTGGAAGGGAGAGCTGGGACCAGAGGAACATGAATGCTGAGGTCTGGTCTTCATAGGGCAGCACCATGCTCATAGCATGGAGGGCTCCTGTATCTGCTTTGGGTGTCCTGGATGGGTTTTGGTGCCCAGAATAGTAAATCCAGCCCCAGTGAATCATGTCCAATAGTTAGAACTTAAAGTGGGATGGAGGGAGCAGCAACAGCCGAGTGTGGCTGCAGGACTGTGTCAGACTGTCAGCATCAGTCAGCGCTGCCCAGCAGGGCAGATCCCGTTTGTTAGCTGTGCAGCCTGTAACAGGATAAATCAAGCGTTTGCTTGCCTGCAGTTAATCCATGGTGGAATCGCTCCGTGTTTCTGTCTCTGCAGGCATCGATTTTGCATTATTTCCATGTATAGCTAGGGAGCAGGGATGGTGTTCTGCTGCCTGGATGTAGTTTGTGGGACCAGGTGTGCCTGGAGGGGACCGAGTTAAGCTTTGGCAGCCTCTGCTGGAGGGAGAGATCTCTGGCACGGCAGGGGATGAGGCATGGGACTGCGGGGCTGAGCACTGAATATCTGACCCAAGCCAAAGCCGTGCTCTCCCCCCTCCTGCTGCCCGCGCTGGGGACAAACAAGCCAAGCAATAACAGCCCTGACAGGCTGCATTTTTGGGCTGAACTTTCTGTTGTTGCAGTTTTGACGTTCTGGGTCACTTTGGGCTATGTTGTGCTTTTCTTCTTGTGCTGTTTTGATCTTCATGTGAAAACAAGTTCCTGATCCTTCTTGTTGCCAGATCACCCGGTGCGGGGCGAGCTGTGCGAACGCCAGCCTGCCCTCCTGCCGAGCCCTCCGCCCGCGGGGCTCACACCTCCCTGCTAAAAGGGTTTCCAGATAAAAACACGAGCTGACAAAGCATGAGTGTCTTTGAGAAAAAAAAAAATCTTTGCTATTTTTATACTTTTAACAAGATAAAAATGCATTGTAGGTGTGAAATAAAAGGTGCCAGCTCCAGCCGTGTGATTTGCCACGTGCGCAGGCTTGAAGCGTCAAGTTGGGAAAGTGGTTGTGGGGGTGGAGGAGGGTTATGGGGCAGTGGCAGGGTCTCTCCATTGCCACTTGTGTTTTCCTCCCCACTTCACACAGCTCTCTGCGGCACCAACTTTGCCCCAGCGTGGGGCAAAATGTTGGAGGGCTTGGGGAAGGTTAGCAGAGCTTTCCTGAGCTTGCTTATGGAGCTTTGGACTGGCACCCTCAGGGCAAGGTAAGCCAGTGGTTAGGAAAGGTCTGGTGCCATCTTCCCTCTCGGTAGCAGTGGGGAAGGTGGTTGGAGATCCATCCACTTGGCTGTGTTGGATCCTTGTTACCTACTTGGCCCGTCATAGGAGGTAAATGGGTGCAGACTAGCATACTTTGTAGATGGTGGACCATTTTCTGGGAGGCAGTGCTGTTCCTACTGGCCGCCTGTTGGCTTGTCTGGCTGTAGGCTGCAATTCCCAGGCACGGGCTGGGACTGCACAAGGCTCAGGCTGCTGCGCTGGTGCACTGAGCAGTGCTCGCAGGAAATGGAGGAGTAAGAGAACAGCAAATAGGAAACCTCCTGGAGCCTGCCTGCACATCCTGAAGGTAGGGGGAAACCTCCAGACAGCAAAACAGGATGGCACGGGAGCATTTCCACTCATTTGACTCATGCTGAAACAATGCCCGGCCGATGTTTGTCTTGGACAAATGCATTTCTCTAAGCAACAGGATCTCCTGGCCCTCCTGCGAGGCAAACGCTGGGGTTTAACTGTTGCACAGCCTGAGGCTGACCTGTCCTTTGGGGTCGCTCAGGGTGGTTAGAGTGGCCTGTGCAGAGCAGTAGCTTCTGCTGAAGCCGTACGGGA